AAAGAGTGTGGAGAGGTCCCCCCCTCAAGGCAATTTTTAAAAAAAAAAAAAAAAAAAAAAAAAAAAGTAAAAAAAAAAATCTAGGTTTTTATTTCTTTTTTTTTTTGTGTGTGCGTGGAAAGATCCTTCACCCAGAGGTTTCCAATGTGTTAGCCAACCCTCGGTTAAAATATTCGGAATGGACAACATCTCTCTTTTTTGCCCCCTCTTTTTCTCCCTCCCTCTTTCTTTCTCTCTTGCTCTCGAGCTCATCCAACTGTTTCATGCCCGACTTTGCTCAAGTTGGCACCCGGAGAACTTGGTTCAGGGCTGTGTGGGTTGTGTGACTGATTGTCCTAGCTGCACTACTTTATTAAAAAGATAATGTTCATAAGGAGTCAATATGTAGTTTTTAAGAGACAATCAGTGTGTGTCTTATATAAATGGTACATCTGTGGTTTTTAATCTGTGCTAGACTTCAAAACTGTGATCTCCTGTATTGTATGCAACTATGAACTCTGCACCAGCGGGAGTTCTGCTGTGATTTAAATAGGTTATAATTATAAGTGAAATTCAGAGCAACTGAGTTACCTATTATCATCTTTTAAAAAAAATAATTAAAGAATATATATTAAAAAAAAAATAAAGAAAAATACAAAAACACGATCGCCTTTCACCCGAGGTGAACTGCACTGAAACTTTTTACAACAAACTGTCTCTGAATGAAAGAGAAAAGACCGAAAAAAAAAACTCCACCTGAGGACTTTAAACTCCTCTGGAGCTCCCTTACTGCTGGCCACGCTGGCAGTACCCATCAAATCCAACAGGACTTTGGGCAGTTGCTCTGACCTGGATGAATTTAAATGGAGAAATTCATTGTCATTTATGCTTGCAGATGTTAACTGAAAAAAAAAAAGATATATATGCATAAACCTTTTTTTTTTTTTTTCCTGGATTTGGCAGATATGTATAATTATATTAAAATGGTTCTAGCACACTTGATGGTTGTCTTCCATTTTAATCGCATCCGGAGAGGGGCGATGCCGTCTGCCGTGGGGGACCAGGAGGGTCCGGCTGCTTCTGCAGAGACAAAGGGGGTTTTACAGGCGGCTCCCCGAGGTAAAAGAAGCAAAATGAAAAGAGGATTATTTCATTTTTATTTTATTTTTTAAAGCAAAAAAAAATTCGTTACAAATAGACCTTGGGTAACATGAGCTTCCCCTCCCAGCTTTCCCAAATCTCGTCATGGGGAGGGGAGGGATGCGTTTGCTCTGTGCCCTCCCTGGAGGTGCCAGTCTCTTTTAGGGAGAGCTCTAAACTTTCTGGGCTGATCCAGAAAGAGAAGAAGGGGAGAACCTTGGGAGTGATCAGGCAGGATCATCCGAGGTGCTGGGGAAGGAGAAGGCAAATTTGTAAGCTACCATTTCAAGTGTTGAAGCCACTGTGCCCTACGATGCAGGATCAGGCCCTTCCCAAGCTTCCCTGCTCCTGGTGGCTCTTTCTCTGTCCTTTTCCCTCTATTTCCCCTCTCTCTTTCCCGTGTGCATCATTGGGGTCAGTTGATCCCTGAACTCGTGTTGGATTTAACACAGCAAAACCCAAGGACCTCTAGAAAGGGAGAGATGCAGAAAAAGGCACCCACCACCGTCCTACTCCCCCTCACTGGCTGTCCCCGGAGGCTTGTCACCAGAGCCCCCCCTGCCTGCCAGTCACTTGGAGCCACAAGCGTGTGGCCATCAGCACCCCACTATAACTGGGGGGGCACGACTGCCACGGTCCCTCTCCAACCACCCCCAGCTTTGGATCCCTGCCTCCCCGATGGGCAGTCCCTTCCATGGGCACCAGCAAACCCTCTCCTTCCCACGGTGGCATTTCTGTCCCCAGCCACCATGAGCAAACATCAGCCAGCTCCAAACGAAACCCAGTTTTTATGCTGCCTCCTGTTAGCGCTTCTCTGAGGGTGATTTTTTCATTCATTTCTTGATTTTTTAGCAGGAGGAGGTTTGGGCAGCATGAATGCTGAGGCTGCTGCCGGCTGCTCCCAGGCAGCAGTCAGGAAAGTTTCATTCCTCTGCTGATTGGGTTCAAACCAACAAAGTTTACCCCTCCCAAAAAATCTGATTTGAGCAAAATACGCTTGGAAAAACCAAGTCCTTATCGAAGTGGGGCGCAGCTTCCCACCTGCCTGGAAAAGCTCTTTGTTTCCTGGGGTTTTGATTGTTTTTCTTTGAAATTGTATTTTTCCCATTTCGCTTTTCCCATCTTATCTTTTACTTCTCTTTCCTGAGTGTTTTCCCATCTGTTAGGGATGAGCTCCTCTGGCTACAGCTTATTTTTATCAGAAAAAGCCAATCGATGGCAGGAATTTCTCTGAATTTCCCCTGGCTTCTCACACTTTTCACCTTTTTCTCTACCTGTTTGTTCCTGGTTTTAATTTAAACGGGCGCTCATGTGGGCACAAAAGCAAATTCCCAAGGTGAGCTGGCAAGTGCAAAATATTCTATGACGAGCACCTTAACTCCTTTTTCATTTTTAGTGTTTTAGGTCTCCCTTCTGGCTGGCTGAGTTTCCCCTGAACTCAGACCGCGGGAGGTAATTCCAGGTCTAAACAAATCAAGGGAAAAGCTGGGAGGACTGCATCAGTTTAGTGCTGGAAAGCTGGATTTAGGGGCAAAGAGCTGATTTAAAGGGTGTTTGATTTGAGGCGTCCCCTCACCTCCCCAACATGTACATCTAAGCGAATCCTCTCCCTGTTCTGCAGGGTGACAATTCTCACCAGAGGAAAAAAAAAAAAAAAAAAAACACCAAAATGGAAAAAGCAGAAAATTAAGGGAATTCCTGACCCCAGGCAGAATTGAGCTGCCTCAGATGCCGACTCCAGCTCCTCTGCCTGCTCGCTGCCTGCACCAGCCCACACTGCCCAGTTCCCCCCCAGTAACCAGCCCTTGCCCAGTGCAGCTCTGCTCCCACCCCACCTCAATGAGCCCAAAAAGAAGGGACAGGTTTTGGGGTGACTGCACTTCCAGGAGGAGCTCGGGGCTGGGGAGCACTGCCAGTTTCCAAGGAGACAGGGGAGAGCAACTGAAAAAAGCCAGATTTAGGGATTCACAGGAGAATTTCTCCACCTGGTGCTGGGCTGGGGGCGTGGGGTGGGATAGGGACCCCTCAAACCCCCACTCACAGCCCTTACTCATGAACCATTTGGGTATGGGTTTGGGAGGGTTGAGTTTGGATCTGGGAAGGTTTGGGAATATTGGATATGGGTTTGGGAGGGCTGGGTAGGGTTTGGGGGTTAGGTTTGGTACAGGTGGGTATGGTTTAGGGTGAGGTTTGGGAAGGCTGGGCATGGCCTCGGGTCAGGTTTGGGAGGGCTAGGTATGGTTTGTGAGAGCCAGACATGGCTTAGGGTTAGGTTTGGGTTTGATGTGGGTCCTGGACCCCCTCCAGTTTTAGGGACTATGTGTTCCTATAGCTGCATATAGCACAAGTGTTCAGGCCAGTGTACACACATGGATGTAGCGTGTAAACACACCCATAAATGCCCAGCACAAATCACAAGTGCCCATGCACGAGTAGCCACATCTAATATATATTAGATATAACATGTAGAGCAGAGGCGGGTACAGCCCTGGCTAAGGAAGGGAAGGGAAGGGAAGGGAAGGGAAGGGAAGGGAAGGGAAGGGAAGGGAAGGGAAGGGAAGGGAAGGGAAGGGAAGGGAAGGGAAGGGAAGGGAAGGGAAGGGAAGGGAAGGGAAGGGAAGGGAAGGGAAGGGAAGGGAAGGGAAGGGAAGGGAAGGGAAGGGAAGGGAAGGGAAGGGAAGGGAAGGGAAGGGAAGGGAAGGGAAGGGAAGGGAAGGGAAGGGAAGGGAAGGGAAAATGCCATTCATCAGATCCAGCTGCCTGCCTGGTGTCTCCCCACTGCTGTTATTGCTGCTGCACCAGCAGCAGAGTGGGGTAGAGAGGAGGGAGGCGGTGGTGGGGGGAGAAGAGGTGGTGAAGAGCTAGATAAATATATCAATGCTGCACAAACTGTTAAAATCTGCTCTGAGAGTCAATTTTGACTTTTAGGCTCATGAACCCCATTCATCAGATCCAGCTGCCTGCCTGGTGTCTCCCCACTGCTGTTATTGCTGCTGCACCAGCAGCAGAGTGGGGTAGAGAGGAGGGAGGCGGTGGTGGGGGGAGAAGAGGTGGTGAAGAGCTAGATAAATATATCAATGCTGCACAAACTGTTAAAATCTGCTCTGAGAGTCAATTTTGACTTTTAGGCTCATGAACCATTAATAAAAATCTCCTTATACTCAAATGGCTCTGAAATGCCGTGATAGCGGATTACAAACTCCTAATGGAGATACTGTATGATCAAATATGCTCTAAGCAGCAAGGTCTAACGTACTGGGGGTGGCCAGGCCACCTGATTATCAGCTTATTGGCAAATACTTCTTAGTGCAGGATGTGCTGGAAAGAAAGTGTCTTCCTCAGCACCATCCCTCTTCCTGTTCTTCACGGAAATCGATTTGGGAACAGCATCCTGTGCCCTGGGGACCACAGGGTGACCCGTGGGACTTGACTTGTGGCTCTGGTCTTTCCCCAATGCCTTCTTTGGTCTTTAATACCTCCTGGTGACACTCAGCCCTTGCCAGGTTCAAGGCACTCTACGTGATGTATAATTGCTTGGTAATTAAATTTGGAAGGCCGAGGTAGCATCATTATAGGGAGAGTGAGAGGAAGGGAGGTGCCTGTGTGAGACCTTCTTACAGAGATCCCTATGGAGCTAATTGCTGGAGAAACTGGACCATGTTTCTCTTGTTTTCTGCTTGCAAGAGGGAGCTGGCTCTCTCTCTCCCTCCCCTCAC